AAATTTTAATTTTCCATATTGTTTACATATCTAAAGTTAAAACTATTTAAACAATTTATGCAAAAAAACAGTACATACCAATTTCTCAAAGAATGGGTCATCACAAGGTCATAAGACTGCATGCTAATCCACATCCCAATAAAATCTTTTACAATGCTTCTATTTCAGAACGAACAATATTTTTTCATAAATTTTGCGTGGAGAATAAAATGTATTTTCAAATTGGAACTCCAACTTTTTTCTCTCAGTTTTAAAGTTTTTTTCACTGTATCCCCATTAATGCTATTACTTGTATTTCTTTGGAAATTTCAGTCATGTCTTAGCTCAAGTGTACCTAAAGGGCTAACTATAAAATATTGTGTAGAATATGTAACTTAACTGAGAACCATGAGATGTCAAGGAAGTTAAAATCACCCTTCACTCCAAAAAAAGAAACAACGTATCCTCCCCTTAACAATACCCCACACATACAATTTGTATACTTAGATTCAATAAACATCATTCTAAAACCAAAACCTCTTGGCCTACTTAGTTCTGAATCATTTATGTCTGTACTTACACAGTAGAAATGCAGCAAAACTTATTTAAGACAAACACTAGTCAAAATATATACAGCAAGGAACTTTATGAATGTGTACCCCATGTTGGTGTCTAGCCAAATCCAAGTCTCTGGAAAATGCTTTCGGACACGTGGAATGCTGATGGAAGAAAAGTCATCAAGGTCTACCGCATTGCTCTCCTCCACAAAATTCTCAGCATATAACATGCTGTCAACTAGAAATGGACATGGACAATGGTTAGGGAAACAGTCACGAGACAGACCGAATGGGAAACTTCGTGCACAGAGTGAATGTCCATCACTCGAGAAGGTTTCAAGCGACATAGTACACCAGTGAGAAGATCAGGTCTCCCCGTTTGAGTGAAGAGGCAGAAGAATCTCAAAAAAGGTAAAGGACACAATGTCACCGACACAAGCATGAGCATCCCAGTGGGCGTCGGGCAGGATGTGGTCAATAAAGAAAAACAAAGACGGGTAAAAGTGGAGACGAGGAACGGAAACACAGAGATGCTTGGCAGGTCTGAGGAAAGCTAAATACACCACAGGTCTTCAGTACATAGAGGTCACAGAACTTCATCAAATCTTCCAGACTACAAAATTAGGTTTTCAGCTTCAGGACAGAGGTTCAGGTATCCTGTGGGTAACAAAGACCAAGGCCAAAAAGACCCTGACTCTTACTGTGGAATAATTGAGAACATCTGACAGAAAGAGGGAATTTAACAACAGAAAAACTGTCCATTCTGGAAGCCTTTCCAAATGACGTTAGCGTCATTTTACCTAAAAGGAAAGAGAATAACTTCTACAGTTAACCATTCTCATTTGTACATTTCCTCCCATCAAAACATCATACGGCCTCTTCCTGAAAGCACATTTCTTTTTTTTTTTTTTTCCGGGTTAGTATGAGAGTACGTGTGATTAAGTTCCATTATCTGTGTTTATACGGTGAAGTCCAGAGTCTGAGACGTAGCTGTGTCCTTCGCCCAGGACATGCGCCATACACCCCCGTACCTCGTACCCACGACCCCTCTCTCTTCTCCAGTTACATTCTTGACTCTGTGATTTTTCTCTCATGTGGGCTTATATGATTTTTCTCTCATGTGAAAAGTACACATTCTATTACTATGGGGCCAACTCTACTTAGCAATTCAAGGAACTAAGATGGACAGATCTGACCCTGCCCAGGAGGAACTCACACTGATGAGGGGTGTGTGTCTCTGTGTTTGTGTACATGTGTGTCTCTCTGTGTGTATGTCTGTGTATACCAGCATACTTTATGGCATCTGATCTATTTTCTAGGTGAACATAAAAAAGCTAAAGAACAAACATGTTCCAAAACTATGTTGCTCCTTTTAACTAAGTCCAAAATAACAGTACAGCTTGTGGTACAAATTGGAACCACAGGACCTTCCAACGTGTGTCCAAAAATATAACTACCTCAAAGAATTACAGACAGTCAATGGGAAACATTCACTTTACAGATCTAGACAGGAGCCCAGAAGACCGTTCCATGCTGAACGCACTTCCAAGTACATTAAACTCCTAACATCTTAGGACAAGAGAACAGAAAATGCAAATCCAAATATCCATATTCAGCCAGAAAATACCCAGACCTATATCATTAATGTCGAACATCTGAGGTGAAAGACAGATATCGTACGAGCACATTACCAGGTTTTACTTACAAGCAATGTCAGTATAATCCTCTATAAGATTCGCATCTGTCAATACCCAGAGGCCACATTCCTAGAAAGAATAATATTAATTTTTTTAAAAAAACACAAGTTTAAAGGTTCTCTGAGCCACCTTGGTGGGCTCCCATACTCCCAACCCCTCACTCGTTTTTGAACGCTTAGGTACACATGCACACATTCATTTCACCTTTCTTTCTTTCTCAACTTTCATACACACGCTAACACACACATTAACATTTCAAAGGCAAGGATAATCTATAAAATATATTTATAAAGGAACATAAGTATATGTTAAATGACAATCCCATTAATTTCTTTAATAGTGAATATTTCCATTTGCTTTTAAAACTGGAGGGATGAATATCTTTTCATTTCACATTATACTTCTATAACACTGCCATTCAGTCACTCAGTAAATTAAAGGTCATATGATCTTTAATTCTGAAAGTGTTTTCAACAGTAAAACATATTCATATATTTTTAATATAGCAAACTAAACATACCTGAAAGACTGCAAAGGAATTCATAAACATGCCTAAATAATAGCCTGTGTTATAAAGTTCCAAGTCTTGGACCACCTACAGAGAAGATAAAACACCCAGAGTGAATAGATTCACATCAACCTTCCACAACATTTTCTATAAGTTACTTCTTTAAGATACAGCCCTCAGGCTTATCCAAAATGACATAAATCAAGGAAGTAATAAATATGTAAATTCTTTGTTCATGATCCAGTCAGTCAAAACTACATTTCTTATTTTCGCTCTGTTCAGCAATTCCGCCAAGTTCCTAAGAAGACGGGACTTCAGTTTTGCCCAGAAGGAACTTACGTGTCAGTGTTTAAAAAGACCAACAGGGGGAAGTCAAAGTTAAAAATGGTCCATACTTTTGGCAGAGATAAACAAGTTAAGTTAAATCTGATGAAGATTAATATAAGCTTTCCAAATATCAGAGACCTAAATTTTAAAAAATAGACCAAAAAGTGAATTCACAAAAGAGGAAATACGAATTATTACTAAGCAGAAATAATATTCTGCTTTATTGATAATCAAAGCCATGCAAATTACAGCATCCATGAGATACAGTTTCTTTTCCATAATGAGATATTTGCATGTGTCACATTGGCAATGCTATTCTTGGGGGGAACTGTTTGCCTTGCTAACAAGAGTGGGTAAAATATGCTAAAAAAGTGAGCAAAATTAGCAGTTCCTCAAAAATTTAAACATAAAATTAGGATACGATACATTAAGTCCAGTCCTAAGTATACGCTCAAAAGAGCTGAGAAAAGAAAATCAAAAGAAATACTTGCATGCCAATGTTCACTGCAGCACTGGTAACATAGCCAAAAAGGTGGGAACAACCCAAGTGTTCATCAACAGAACACTGGATAAACAAAATGTGGACTAATACTCAACCTTAAAAAGAAATAAAGTTGCTGGTACACACCACAATATGGATGAACCTTAAAAACAACAAAAGTTCAAATCTGATACAAGGTCATTTACGTGAATCTAGAATAGGCAAATTCACAAAGACAGAAGTAGATTAGAGGCTGCGGAGGGCTGGGGGAGGGAGGAAATGGGGAATCATTGCTTAACGGTTACAGAGTCTCTGTTTAGGGGTATGAAAAAGTTTTGGAAATAGAGGATGGTGATGTTTGGGTATACAAAACTGTGAAGTAATTGATGCTACTGAATTATACACTTAAAAATGGTAAAAATGGCACGTTCTTAACTACAATTCAAAAAACCTACATATTCTACCTTTTAGAGTAACTATTTTGATACTGTTCCCTTATTTACATGAACTAGACAAAACAAGGCACATTTAGAAACCATGAAAGAATATAAATCAAGTTGAAAAACACATTCTAGCACAAAGTTAAACACCAGTAGCCCATTTCTGCAATGCTAACAACGGCTACATCCATGGTGAGCTACAAGAACAGACACCTATAAGAAAAGAACAGAAGGAGAGTCAACCGTGGGTAAGGGAGCCAGAGACAGACACAGTGAAGAGAAAAGGTTCTGGGACCCCAGCTCTGCCACAAACTACAGACTCATGAGGACCGGCTTCTGCTCTCACTGAGGCAGGGATGGACAGCAATATTCAAGAAGCAGCATCAGGACAGTGGTTACCAGGGACAAGGCGAGAAGGAAGGAAATGCGGAGACAGGTCAGAGGCTGCAAATCCAGACATCTAATTCACATCGTGAGAACTATAGTTCAGAAAATAGTGTGGTATTGGGGGTTTTCTATTAAGTAAGAGGTTTTGGCTGCCCTTGTCACCAACAACAAGTAGCTATGTGGCATAGCAATTTTCTTCACTCTAGTGAGCATTACACTATCTATAGATATATATATCATAATATCATGTTGTAAACCTCAAATACACACAATAAAATCTATTTCTTTAAAAAACATCTATCTCATTCTTTAAAAATCCTCTTTTTCTTACTTAATAAAATGCACTTTCCAGGGGCGGTACCTGTGGCTCAAAAGGGTAGAGCACCAGCCCCATATGCCAGAGGTGGCGGGTTCAAACCCAGCCCTGGCCAGAAACTCACCAAAAAAAAAAAAAAAGAGTTTATGTGCAAGGGAGGAATACATTTCTAAAAGGATAATAACTGTTTTATTCCAGTGCTCCTAGTATTCAGCCCAGGGAGTCCGGGGTAGAGGCACTCATTATTTGCTGAATGAACAAGTGAATAAGGCCATATTTCTTAATTACCAATATGA